CAGCTGATGCTTGATGTAGGTTGCTAAGCCTTTTAAAATTTTGCACATGTAGGATATGAAACGAAATGATTTTTTTAGGTTTTATGTATACAGTTGAATAACCAAAAATCACAAATTACTCTATCAATATCATAGAATTCCACTATAATTTATCAAACTCAGTAACTAAGATGTATCTCGGCCAGGGTCGCAGGTTCGAATCCCCGTCCCACCAAATATGTTCGCCCTTTCAGCTGTAGGGGCATTATAATATGATAGACAATCCTGCTATTTGTTAGTACAAGAGTATCCCAAGAGTGTTAGGTGGGTGGTGATGACAAACTTTCTTACCTCTAGTATTACAATGTTAAATTAGGAACAACTAGTGCAGATAGCTCTCGTGTAGCTTTGCACGAAATTCCAAACAAAGCTGAAATTTGGAGCAGACTAAATACACAATCCTCCTTAAAATCTTGTTTCAAAAGAATGAGAGGGTCTCCCAACATTTTATAATGGCTGAAAAAACCACCAGGGAGACATTCTGAACTGTAAATTGGTTATTCACATGTCATATATTGAAGAAAGTGTATATAATAGACCGTTTCCAAAAATGGAAAGAGGTGAGCTGGGCCACAGTGTTGATACAGTACCTAAACGATATCTTAGCACAGAAAAAAAAAGATACTAGGTTTGTATTTATATCATAGCTTGTGGATATTGGTAGTATGAGTTCCTAATTCGTACCAAACTATAGACTTAGTATTTTGACATCACAAAGATCTAATTTGAAGCAGTGCTTGCATTTAACGTACCACGTGACACACAAAATCGATTTTTTAAAATATTTGCTTTGAAATTACGAAATTGAGTAATATACAGTACTAAAATTTGAATTATAATCTACAGTTTGATACCAAACTTATTGCTTTGAAATTACGAAATTGAGTAATATACAGTACTAAAATTTGAATTATAATCTACAGTTTGATACCAAACTTATTGCTTTGAAATTACGAAATTGAGTAATATACAGTACTAAAATTTGAATTATAATCTACAGTTTGATACCAAACTTATTGC